GAGTGTTCCTTTTACCATTTAACTAGCAAGTTGTGTGTTATCTAGGCTGTAATTGCTTTTTTTTCCCCAAGTACTTTGGACTGGATACGTGGGAATCTACCCCGCCCTGTAATTCTAATTTCTCATTGAAAAAGCTACTATTTTCCTTCAAAACAGAAACAGTTTATAGGCATTGTCTCTTTTAGAGCTGGAAAGATAAGCATGGGGTGGTTGAGTAATAGAGAGTAACTATTATGAAAATTGTCATCAGAATTCTGCCTTAGGAAGATAAAAACTGTGGTCTTTTAGTATGACTTGTATCACAAGCAACTCCTTCAATAAATTATCTGTTCTACAGTAGGGGTCAGCAAACTATATATAGCCAGCTGGATTTGGCCCACTGCCTGAAATAAGATTTTATGGAACACAGCCATGTCCATTTGTTTATATATTGTATATAGTTGCTTTTGCCCTACAGTGGCAGAGTTGGTTAGTTGAGACAAGAACTATATCTCCACAAAGCCTAATATGTTTACTATCTGAATCTTTAAAAAAAGTTTGCCAGCCCCTGTACTAGAACATTGATTCTGTTGGGGAGGTGGGGATTGAGACTGGTCAGAATTAGCTGTGCTTTTTCAGACGAACCACTTTGCCCGCCACGCCTCCAACCCAACCTGGTGGACCTTCCCACACCCGGACTCTGTTGAGTCACTGTTCTTAATTGGGATGTAACAGTATCCCTCGAATGTTGGGACAGAAAAAGATGAACCACTATACTAGAGTTTTGTGAGTGTCCCTTTATTTTCAGGTTAGATGGAAACTTGTAAAATGATTGGTTGACAGATAAATCTGAGGGTTAACTAGTTTCAAATTACGTTGAGATTTTTTAAATTTCTTTTTTCCCACCAAATTTCTTTTCAGCTTCTCAGAAATTAAAGTGTTGTTTTTTATTTATTTGCTTTAATGAATTATTAAATTATTTGCTTGAATGAAAGTTGTTAACTTCCTTTCCAGTTGTAACAGAAACTACAGGTAGCCTATCTGGAGTCAGTATCACATCTGAACTAAATGAAGAATTGAATGATTTAATTCAGCGTTTTCATAATCAGCTTCGTGATTCTCAGGTAACTTCATTTTTTTGGTATACTGGATTTAAAATCACATTAACTAAAGCAGTGCTTCTCAAACTTTACTGAGCATACATATCACCTGGCATGGTTGTTAAAAAAATGTAGATTTCTGGTCAGTGGGATCCCCCCACCAAAATTATGATTCATACATTTGGGGTGGGCTTCCCACCATGTGATTCCAGTGCTGGAAGTCTCGGGACTGTGCTTTGGGAAACACTAATTTAGAGGAAATACCTACTTTGAATGAAGTGATTAGTGAAACTTCCCCTTTGTATGCTCCTAGATGACGCATTCTTATTTCACCTTTAAGATTGTTAATAGTCACAACTGTTAAACTTAGTGTGCTGTGAATCTATGCTTTTACAATGTTTTACTAACAATTTTAAGGAAGTTCTTAAGTTTAATTTCAGAGTTAATAAGTGTTATAATTTGATGACCTTTGTAAATAATGATATAAATGCAAAATTTCAGTCTGTTGAGTGAGAAACGGTGAATTAGTACCTCTCCACTGGAAATAGGTATAATTGACAATGCATTATCTTCTGTCTGCTGACCCAAGTTTAAATAAGAGAAGATGATCTAACTACTTTGGAGAGTCATTTAGCAATATCTAGTACATTTTTTCTAGTGATCCTGTTCAAAAGGAGATGCATACAAGAATGTTCATGGCAGCATTGTATTAATAGCAAAGCAGAAACAATCTAAATGTCCATGAACAGGAAAATGGGTTAGTAAGTTATATATACATAGAGTGAAATCCTGGTTACAGTAAATGAACCAGAGCTAATGAATGAAAATGCAAGTTTAAGAAGGATGCCACTTAGCTTATGTTTTAAAATGTGTAGAGTGTTTTTTTTTTTGTTTTTTTTTTTGCGGTACATGGGCCTCTCACTGTCGTGGTCTCTCCCGTTGCGGAGCACAGGCTCCAGACACGCAGGCTCAGCGGCCATGGCTCACGGGCCCAGCCACTCCGCGGTATGTGGGATCTTCCTGGGCCGGGGCACGAACCCATGTCCCTTGCATCAGCAGGCGGACTCTCAACCACTGCGCCACCAGGGAAGCCCCGAGTGTGTATTTTTTATGGATACCTTCATAGGTATTACAAAATAAAAATACGTTTGAGAATGGTAGGTGTCTAATTCCAGATTGTGGTTATCTCGAGAGAGAGTAATGGGGTCACGATTTCTATGTATAAAGCTTTAGCCATTATCTGTAATATTATATTTCTCTTAAAGAAAGAATTGATGCAAATGTGGCAAAATACTAAAATTTGACTAAGCTCAGTGCTGGTTAGTCATTATATGATTTCCTAATCCTTAGTGGATTTTTTAAATGTTTCATAAATTTTTTTTTTTAGTAGCAAAGAAGTGGTAGGAGAAACTGATAGGTTAAGAAGTTAAAGTTTATGATTGTGGTTCTAAAAAGATGGCAAGAGAGAGAATGAGATTTTTGAAGGTTTATTCTATATAAAATGTGGCATTTCTAGCACTTAATTTAGATCCAGTTAATAACATCCAGTGAATCCCCACCGTGTAGTTATGTGTGTCTATAAAACAGTATATATATACTGTTATATAGATATGGTGGCACATCAGGGAATAGTATGTATATAATTTGGGAATAGGAAAGGCATATATACTTACCGACCAGCACAGCCTACACAAATGTTTATCTCTTTTTATAAAGAATATTTATGTATTTTTGGGACTTCCCTGGTGGCGCAGTGGTTAAGAATCCACCTGCCAGCGCAAGGGACACAAGTTTGATCCCTGGTCCAGGAAGATCCCACACGCTGCCGATCAGCTAAGCCTGTGGGCCACTACTACTGAGCCTGCACTCTAGAGCCCACGAGCCACAACTACTGAGCCCACATGCCACAGCTGTTGAAGCCCGCGTGCCCTGGAGCCTGTGCTCCGCAGAAAGAGAAGCCACCGCAGTGAGAAGCCCGCGCACCTTAACTAAGAGCAGCCCCTGCTCGCCACAACTAGAGAAAGCCTGCATGCAGCAACGAAGACCCAATGCAGCCAAAAGAAAAAATGAGAATATTTATGCTTTTTAAATATATGATCAATTTCTATTTTTTTTTTTATTATTATTTTTTTTAACATCTTTATTGGGGTATAATTGCTTTACAATGGTGTGTTAGTTTCTGCTTTATAACAGAGTGAGTCAGTTATACATATATATATGTTCCCATATCTCTTCCCTCTTTGCTTTTAAGAGGAATCAGAGGTTGTTGGGAAGGTTGTTAAAACCCAAATTTGCAACTGGAATGCTTGCTGAAAGCACCTGGTTACCTCAGCAGTCAATATAAATTACAGAGGCTTTCGTCCTTATCCCCTCCTGGGGCACGTGGAGCACAGCCCTAAGGGAACTCCTATTACTCTTTTTTCCAGTGCTCCAGGAGACGTGCACATCTGTTGTTGACACATGTGGAACCTCAGCTCTCCCACCACCTCTCACACTGTTGATGTGATCATGATATTTTCAAACCTAAGGAAGGACCTCCAGGCAGAAGGAAGACACACCTGACACAATTAAAACCAAAACAGTTGGCACACTGGGATACAGATGAGGAATTTACTGCCTTTCTCTGTACACTCCGAGCTGCTGGATGTTAGTGAAGGGTTAAGCTAAGGACAAAATTAAAGAATTGTATCTGTTTTCTTATTACATGAAGAGGTTGCATCACTTGGTTTTTCCTTAAAATCTCTGACCATAAAATTGTGACCCTTTCCTAATTTACCTGGGCTACTTCAAGTTTACTTTGGGGAACTCCTTTCCACAGACAGATTGACATTGCCTTTTAGGATCTTGCAATGCATGCTGGTTAAGAATCTTAGCCTGGGAACCACCCGGACCTGGGTCTGATACTTGACTCACCGCCTACTTACTAGCTGGGTGACCTCAGGCAAGTAGCTTCCCCTCGGCAAGCCCATCTCCTTATCTGTAAAGCAGGTAGGACACCCCACTGCCAGCCTGGGAGTATTCTTGTGAGGATTCAGAGAGACCTTGGTATCAAGTCTTCCTCTCGGTGACCGACGCATAGTTAAGTACTCAATAGTTTCTTTGTTTTTACCATTGTAATTGTTTTACAAAAGAGAGTCGAACAGATAAAATGCACAAGCTGACCTGTAACATAATTGAAAAACTTAAGGCAATGCACATGTATTTTGGCAGTTTAGAATGTGATAACTGGACAAACGTTTCTTCCTTGTTGAGTGCTCAGCAAAGTCTGCATACTGTGCTATTAGAAATGCCTGTTATAAGGGGAACAGACCTCCACCAGGTTCATAGTATCATTTGAATTTGAAGGCATTCCTTTCTCACAAAAGGAATTGCCATTTGAAAGGACAAGTCCCTATGAGGAGTAGAACAGACAGCAGAAGGTCTTGGCTTTTAGCTGCCTGAGCCATCTCAAATAATTCATCCAGTCTTCTTGACCTCTGCTTCAACCTCTCTGTCCAGGAAAGCAACAGGTATATTGCATGCAAGGAGGTTACTGATTCCTTCAAGTTTGATTTTGGGGTCAGATAGAACTAGCTTCAAATTCTAGCTGCACAGCATGCAAGCTGTGTGGCTAATGATTTTGAGCCCTAGTTTATGCCTCTGGGAGGAGATTAATGGGGTACCTTCCTGATAGGTTTGCTGGGAGGATTAAAAGAGAGCAAATTGCCCAAGCTTTGCAAATGGCAGCTAATAAAATAATGAAAACTTTTTGCTTTCAGAACTCTATCTTAAATTGAGGACTCCAAAGAGCTTCTGTGACTATTATTAATTTTTAATTAAAAGTAAGTTAAAATTTATTTTATTACTATGAGAAACAAAATGAGAAACTTTAAAAATATTTGTGTATTAATTTAAAAATCACAGCAAACTCTTAATATGCTAACATAAAAATACATTTTTAATAAAAAGTAACTTTTTTTAAAAAAAGGAACAAAAGAGAAGACTTCATTAGTTTTTTTTTTTCAAGTCCCTTTAATGTCTTAGTAGGAAGGAGTGGAATTCTCATATCTGCTTCCACTAAAATCTGTTGCAGTATCACACATTACTTAGCTTCTGGAAAACTCCACTTTACACCCTAGATGGAATGAAAGCAGAGAAAAGCAAATAATACCTTGGCATTATAAAAATAGTTTTGACCTCATGGACTCCCTGAAAGGGACTCAGGGACCCCCCACTCTTTGAAAACAACCGACTTGGGACAACTGTCTTTCAAACTCTCAAACTGTAGATGATCCAAAGGCTTATGTAGAAAAAGAATGTTACAATGCATAAGAGAAAGAGAAACATCAAGGCCAAGAATATAGAATATCTGAGTCCCACTGAAGAATTTACTTTTAGAAATAAGCTTGTACTCAAGTACGGGGCAGGAGAACAGCAGGAGCCCGAACATATTTACAGAATCAGGCAAGTATCAGGCAAATATATTCTCCAAACAGACTGGACAAACTTGTGATGCCAGTAATCCAGACATCACAGATCACTGCTTCTATGTCTCTTTCTCCGTTCTCCACCACTCCACACCAGCACTGCAGGAAAATACCCATTTGCTCTCTGGATTATCGAATGTTGTAGTTATACCCCACCAGGGCATGGTGACTCAAACCCAGAAAAACTCATGGGTTTTTCAAACACACAGACCTGGGTTCAAAGGCTCGAATTGCCACTTAAGAGCTATGTAGTCTTGGAAAAGTTACTTAAATTTACTGAATCTCATGTATATGATGGGGATTGTGATGGACTAAAAATGACCATATTCTCTGCAACTCCTCCCATCAAAAGTGTGGAATGCAATGGAATACTACTCAGCCATAAAAAAGAAACCTTACCATTTGCAATAACATGGATGAATCTAGAGGGCATTATACTAAATAAGTCAGACAAAGACAAATACCACATGTGATCTCACTTATATGCAGAATCTAAAAAACTAAACAAAATGAAAACAGACTCATAGATACAGAGAATAAATGGATGGCTGCCAGAGGGGAGGGTGGGTGAAATAGCTGAAGAGGATTAAGAGGTATAAACCTCCAGTTATAAAATAAATAAGCCTGAGGATGGAATGTATAGCACAATAATGGTCAATAATACTGTCATAACTTTGTATGTGGACAGATGGTTACTAGATTTCTCGTGTGATCATTTCATAATGTATGCAAGTCAAATCTCTATGTAGTACACATGAAACTAACATAATATTGTATGTCCACTATCTTTCAATAAGATTTTTTTTAATTAATTAAATTTATTTAACACACATAGAGCTAATTCAAGTAATCTCCTTCTTGAGTGAGCTTTGGAGTTTTTGTCTTCAAGGAATTTGCCCATTTCAAGAAAGTAATCAAATTTTTTAGCAAAGTTGTTTATTATATTCTCTTAATCCTTCTAATGATGTAGATCTCTAGTGATATTTTTTCACTCCTTACACATAATGTATATATTCTACCTTTTTTTTGAATTTTTGAATTTTATTTATTTTTTTATACAGCAAATTCTTATTACTTATTCATTTTATACATATTAGTGTATATACGTCAGTCCCAATCTCCCAATTCATCAATAATGAATCTTTCAATAAGATTTTTTGAAAGTTGAAGTCTATTTTCTCATGTCTTGAATTGGGCTGGCGCTGAGTCTGCATCACTCTATGTGGTCGAAGCGGCAATACTTAACTTTTGAGCATGGTTTCAAGAGGCCCTGCAGCTTCCACACTTACCCTGTGGAACCCTGAGGCCCCCGTGCTGTGATGAAAGATTCCATGGAGGAAGAGGGCCAGCCATCTCTGGTGAGGCCCCAGACATCTTATCCCATCCAGCCTCAGCCAAGCAGCCATATGGAGAGTTCCGGTGAAAACAGCAGAACCACCACCCATTCAGCCCACAGAACTGTGAGAAATGATCATTCTGTTTTAGGCTACTAAATAGATGGGTAGTTTCTAGGGTGACCAATTTGTCCCAGTTTGCCTGGGACTTGCCCACTTTTAGCTGCCAGTCCCACATCCCAAGAAACCCCTCAGCCCTAGTTGGTCACCTATTTGTAGCACAATTGCAAATACCTTACACAGGAATAAGAGCGTTCAACTCAGTGTTTGAGAGAATTAAGTGAAATGATGAGGTAAAGGCAAAATATAGACAGAGCCCATAAAATGAAAGGTTTTGTTTTTCTTTTCAATTTATAAAATAACTTTATAATAATTTATAATTACTCTATCTTTAATAAAATAATATTTCCATAGCTAATTAAAATTTGATCTTTTATCTTTGTCTATAACTGAACTTCTCATTCAGGGCCCTAATTGCTTTTTTTCTTTTTTTAAATTAGTTTATTTATTTTTGGCTGCGTTGGGTCTTCGTTGCTGCACGCGGCTTTCTCTAGTTGCGGCGAGCGGCGGCTACTCTTCGTTGCTATGCGCGGGCTTCTCATTGTGGTGGCTTCTCTTGTTGCGGAGCACGGGCTCTAGGCACGTGGGCTACAGTAGTTGGGGCACATGGGCTCAGTAATTCTGGCTCGCAGGCTCTAGAGCTCAGGCTCAGTAGCTGTGGCGCACGGGCTTAGCTGCTCTGCGGCATGTGGGATCTTCCCGGACCAGGGCTCGAACCCGTGTCCCCTGCATTGGCAGGCGGATTCTGAACCACTGCACCACCAGGGAAGTCCCGGGACCTAATTGCTTTAAATATACCAGAGAGCATTCTCTGCTGGAGAATGCTGCATTTTCAGCTAAGCACGAAGGTAGCAGGCCCCTGGGAAATTATGAACCAAAAAGAGAAAGAAAACATTGGACTTAGCTAAATTCAAACTGGCTGTGAGTTCTCAAAAGAGTATCACTGTTGAAGATGGAAAACACTTAATATTATGTCATTCTGGGTGGGTCTAGAACAGGACCTTTTTTTGGACAATATTTTTCCCCAGGGGCATGTCTAGTGAAAACATAATCCACGGAGATGATCTGCAGATAAGGTCAATGCCATGTGCCCACAAAAAGGCAGAATCTCGGGGGCCTACTGGTTAAGAGAGTTGAAACCTTTGAAACTCTATTTTAGAGCTTTCCTTAGGAAGAAAAGTGGGAGGCTGGGGTGGTGGTGGG